GGTGAAGTAGGTCATTCATTTACACTTCCAGCCCACAATTCAGTAGTGTTGAACCCCTGAATCCTCAAGAAAGCATTAGCAATTGAGAAAAAATGAACAATTTCCATAAGAACCCATTTTTTCCTTCCGTCTTGGTAAGAAACCAGAAATGCTTACCATGAGCAAAGCTGGTAAGGCCCATGTGCAGCTTACAGCCCACGACAGGCACATCTTCACAACTTACAAGAAACGTGTGATGTGAATAAAAGGATTAAACTACAAAAATCTTCATGAGCTATGCCCTCACAATGCACTCCAGCGACCTGTGTTATCTACCCTAAAACACATAACTCCTGTTCACACAACTCAATAAATATTTCTTCAGTGATTAATGAGTGAGTGAATTGAAATTTTAGTAAGTTCCAGACACTCTTCTAAACATTGTATATGTAGCAATTCGTTTCATGCTGACAACTACCCTACGAGGTGACAACTCTTGCTGTGTCTGTTTTCAGATGTAGAAACCTTAGAGAGATCAAACAACCTGTGTGAGGTCATCAAGCTCCACAGTCATTTCTCAGGTAGATGGTCATTAAGCCCCACTCTGGGCAGACCACAAAGCAACGCTTTCCCAGGGTGGTGGCCCTGAGTTTAGACTCACGTCCCTACACGCCCACACCGTCAGTGAGAAGTTATCGCCTCAAGTCTGTGTGCTCACAGCACACTGCCACCCGACTCTGTACGTCTTCCTAGACATCAGGCTCACCGTACACTTGCCTGGCCCACCTCTATCACTCTAGTTACAAGAGAATCCGTCTACGCACATATGATCTATACTAAGCTGCGTTAACCATCCATGAGGAGTGTCTACCAAGCCGAGCAAGTCACTGGTAGGAGCAGCAAGACATTTGATGAGACAGGAGAAGCTGTGTTCTGCTAATGTGCATATTGCGTGCATAGCTGGCCTCGTTAGCTTGTAGCTATGCAATGGAATCAGGCTTCTTTTTAATACCTAAGGAATTATGGCCCGAGCTCCCTGGGCATAGCCTCTGTGTGGTTCCCTGTCCTGATTTCCTGCAGCCATGCGGTTGCCTCTGCTGTTCTGGACACGGCAGCTCCCAAACATCAATGCCCCCTGACACCCTACACTATCTTGAAGAGGGGACACTGCCTTCCTAAATCCCCAGCAACTGTGACTTTTAGCAGGAATGTATGGAAAGCTCAAAGTTAGCAGAACAAGTGTATCACAGCCCCTCCCAGATGTGGGCACCCTCAGATCCAGGGGTCCCAGGCTCCCCTTCAGCAGCCCTGCCCAGCCTCCCCTGCCCAGGGTGCAGTGGGGTGAGACCAGTCCATCTCTGTCGATGGGCACCGTGTCAGCTCCAAAGCTCCGAATCCAGACTTGGCTTCCCCCAGCCCCAGAGACAGGTCTGCCTCTCAGTCCAAGGCTCACCTCGCTGAGAGGAACCACAGCTATTTCCTGCAGGGTGGATCCCCTTTCCAGCCCTCTACGGTCTAACTCAGAAAGCCTGAACCAAACAATGACAACAATGCACAGAGCAATACCAAAGTCTGTTAGACTTCCCCCTGTGGGACCTCCTTCAGGGCGTGAGTGGCTTCTAATAAGATCCTTTTAGTGCTTCAGGAATTAAAGCTCTTGGATGGTACCTAAGGTACCCCAATTGATTCAGCATTGCAGCCTAGAGGTATGTAGGAGTTTCAGGGCAACGAATAATAATAAACCTTGGAAATATTAAATTAAAAAAAAAAAAAAACCAACCAAAGTCTGGCTTATTCAGTTTTAAATAACACCATGTGTGGGAATCCAGCAGCCCAATTCCAGAAATTCTGTGCTGAGCCCAGTTCCATTGTCTTCCCTCCCACATAAGGAAATGAAACATCAGGCCTGCTTGCCCCTTGTGCCATGGTCCAGATTCCAATCCACCACCCAGAAGTTTAGACAACAACCAACACACGTGCAAGTGCACACACACACACACACACACACACACGCAGAATAAGCAATAATTTCAGGCATGGAGAAATTTAAATTGTGATTGAAGGGGGAAAAAAAATCATTGGATATGATTCTGCAAGAGCACAGTCTTGGTTACAGCTACAGTTTATACTACTCATGCAACACTGATCAGCTCAACACAAAGCACTTGCCTTTATGATATGCCTTGGTATCCAGGCGGTCCCATTGCCTGTACAAATCCATTTTCCATCCCCTATCACCTTGCTCTCTGCTGAGCTGCCGTATTTAGACAACAGGAGCTCTCTAGCCATCTGAATTCCAGTTAGGTCTGGCCACAGAGGAATCCTGATGGGAGATTGGGAGGAGAGTTTGGGATCTCTGGCCCTCCAGCTGCTTCCCTGCGGGGTCTCGGGGAGCTGGCTGCTTTCTTCCTTCTGAGGTTGCTGGTTCTCTGAAGGTGGTAGCCTTTCCCACGTGACCCTCCCAGTCCCAGTGACCACCCCTCCCCTTGTCTCTTTGGGCCCGGGGATGGTGACAGCACTGGGTTATTGCGCTAATCTCTGGGGTTCCCCAAAGCCGGCACACACCTTTGTAAAAGTCCCATTATCAAGCTGGTTTGAGGTGCCAGCGTTTCCTATAGGGACAGTGATTGATGCAAGGGCTTTTGCAAGAATAGCACAGCATGACCCAAAGAGCTAGACTACAGGACCCCGGCATAAGCAAAGGAAGAGTCTAGTGTTCTGAAGCTAATGAAAGTCCCTGTACAAAGGCATTTGTGCCTCCCATTCTTTTCCCCTATCTGCGCTGTCATGCTCTTCCCCACGCTGTGGCCAGGCTTTCACTCCCAAACACGATAAAGAAAAGTATCTGGAAGTGAACAATGCAAGTCTTGGCACCTACAGGCAACATATATTATTATACTTGTTTTCATGTGACCTGGAAAGAAATAACATAAAAAGAAGAGGAATTTTATTAATATTATGAGCTGGACAGCCTCCATCCCAGCCTTTCTAGGCTAATGTTTAGGACTTACTGGTTTTGAGTCTGTTTTATAAGGAATATTGGCCATAGACATATCTTTTCCTTTATAACCACTTGTCTTGAATATATTATTAAATGTCTAACCATAGACCGAGATTCTGTTGTATTTTTAAATTTTAATGTTTTTCAAGTGATTCGAAAGTGTCTAGTTAGAGCAGTGTTAAAGAGTCCACAGACAGGCTCACGGGAGCCTTCACCAAGGAATGGGGATTCTGTCTGTCTTATGACCGCCCCTTCGGGACTGGGGTGCTACCTGCTGTCTTGGGGAAGCCTTCAAGAGGATCAGACGTCAACAGTGGGATATGCTCGAAGCTGGGGCATCGTGGGGAAGGGAAGTCTCTGAGCAGCCTGCGTGTGCGTGGCCTGCTGCAGACGCACTCGGGCCGTCCAGGACAACCGAGACCTGATTTAACCGCTTCGGGCCCAGCGTCCACCGTAGTCGACAGCCACAGATGAACGCGCACAGCCGAGCATCGACTTTAGCCGACACCCGTGATATGACTTTTCTAATTTTTCATTTATCAAAATAAAATTGTGAACATTTAAAAATAACGTAATGAAAATATATATGTATATGTGACCTATTCTGATTTGCATTACAAGCAAAGCTGCCTGTAAAGTAAAACAAGCTTTCAGTGCTTCACAGCTTTCCTCATCACACAAGAGCAAAACGGACCCGTGGTCAATGCGCAGCGCACACCGCCGCGGACTGTGAGTGCCGGCTGTGGGCGAGGTTTCGCGGCCGGTGAGCGCCGTCCCCAAGTGGTTAATAGAAACTTTCCTTCTGAGTTCCCACCTGTCTCTCGATGGGAGCCGGCACTGGCGTGCACAGGCAAAGAGGAGAAGGTGTCGGCTCCCCTCGGGGGTTTTCGGTTCTCCAGAGAAGGGTGACACAAGCCAGCACTCGGGGCACCTGCACCACTGATTTCCCGCCGCCTGCAAACCATTTTTACCTGTTTTTTCTGCTGATGGAATTGGGTGTTTGTCAGAATTCCCTTAAAAGTAACTGTGATGGTTAATTGCGTGGGTCACCTCGGCTGGCCATGGGGTGCCCCATTAAACTCCATTCTGGGTGTGCCCGAGGGGGTGTTCCCACATGAGGCTGGTGTTGGAACAGGTAAACTCTGTAAAGTAGATGTCCCTCCCGGGTGTGGTGGCGGGACGGATTTGCTCCTTCTTGCCTGACTGCTTGAGCTGGGACAACTCATCTCGTCTTCTCCGGCCCTTAGACTGGGATTTGCCTCAGTGGCTCTCCTCATTTTCAGGCCTTCAGACTTGGACTGAATAACACCCCAGCCTTCCTGTCCTCCAGCTTGTAGATGGCAGATAGGGGACTTCTCAGCCCCCATAATCATGAGAGCCAATTCCTATAATGCATCTCCTTTCACAAATATAAAAAACAGACAGGTAGGTAGATAAATAGATAGATGGCAGCCTAGTGTTTCTTTTCCTCTGGAGAACCCGGACTAACACAGAAACTAACACATTTTTTCTCATTCATTTCCAGGAGACTGAGACGGCCTGGCTACCTGGGAGGGCCATCTCAAACCTACCATCACCCCTTGGCCGAAAAGCTAAGGACACCTTCCCTCCCCACCCCCGCCACTTCTCCTGCCAAGTCAGAAAAAGGAGCAGGAAGGCAACAAGAGGGAAATTGGAATATCGGATTGGGAGAATGGAAAGAAATCCAGAATGTTCATCGCGCCCCAGGGAAAGTGGACTGTGTTGGTGTGATAAGGAGAAAGGGCCCGGTTAGAAGGGAGAGGACCCGCATGAGCACTGCTTTTATTTAGGCGGCCACTTAAATTCTGCGAACTGCCGCCTCCTCTGTGGGCCAACAGAGAGACAACAGCCAGACCACTGAGTCGGTGTGAGGAGCAAGCTGCGTAGTGAACACGTAGGGCCTGTCACGTGACAGGAGCGTGCCCATCATTTAACAGTATCACACAGACAGCGTGAGCTTCAGTTTCAAAGTTTCTCATTCTTTTTATTCTGTGAAATGCCCACCATTTGCTCTGCAGGCATTTGCTGAGCATTCAGTCTCCGAATGGGGAACACCAGGGTCATTTCTGTGACCAGCCCCTGGGGAGGGTTTCCACTGTGTTCTCGGTGCCACGTCTACAAAAGGACGGGGAACGTTCTGGGCGATTCCAGACTGACTGCAAGAGGCAGAGACCCCAAACGACAAAGTATGTAAACAGATGAAAAAATAGAGGCCACTTCACCTGAAGAAAAGAAAACACGAGGGAAAATGAGCAGGCACCTTCAACAGAAACAGTCACCACCGCATGCCGGGGACTACACCCAGTGCCTCATACATATTCCTGAATCTCCACCGCGACTCAGTAGGTCAGGTTTTACAACCACACTTCACGGGAGAGGAGACCAAAGACTGCCTGCAAGGCCCCGTCCTCCCCACTCTGCCCACTGCCTTCCCCTGGGAGTGAATGGCGGTTATAAAATAGAATCGAGGCCTGTGCTGTCTGCGTCGGAGGCGTATAGCCAGGAACAATGGGTGGAAACTACAGGAAGACAGATTTCAGCTGCACATCAGGAAGAACTCCGTGGTGGCGGGGGTGTCCACAGACACAAAGCACTGTCTTTGTAGGCAGAATTTCCCACCGCCAGAGAAAACTTGTGCATTGTTTGGAAGAGGGATTTTGGAGAGGAGAATTGAGTACCAAAAGTATACCTGCAGTGGATGACTTTTGGGGTTCCTTTCTATCGCCCTAAAATGTGTTGTCTGTGAAACAAAAACTTCCCAAATGCAGAGGAGAGAGGGTCACGTTTGCTTACTCCTCGAATGACAAAACAGAAAGTCCTCGAGAAGAGCTTCCCCCCAAACCCACCTCTAGTCCATAAGTTGAAGGATAATTAACTCAGGAGATTGAAATAAACCCTGGAACTGATTCCAATGTCTTAGAATAGGTGTGATCTTAGCTTGGAGGTGTCCTGAGTCCTCTCCTTCAAGGGAAGCACCCCTTGGCAAGCTCTTTAATCCCTGCCATGGTGCATTTGGGAGTAGTAATTCAATATCTCCTGAAAGCTCAGCAAAATGAAATGAAACATAAACTATAAAATAACACAACTTTTCTTGCATGCAAAGTTTTAAAAGGGAAGCCAGCAAAAGTGTTTTAAACATCTCACAAAGTTCACATTGTATTGTGAAATTAGTTTTAATGAAGCTGTTATTATGCTACAAGAATGCAATAAAACATCTGAAACCTGAAATTTCCCATTTTTATCACCTCCTGTAAAATTTTCAAAAGGCTAAAATGATTTGTTTCAAAATGTGTATAGTAATAATTGGATTGAGAATTTTCATGCCAACTTTCCATTTGGAATGTAATCTAGAGACTGTTACTTCATAAACCACTGAAAATGTGAGCACAAAATGAAAAGGGTAAAATATTATGGAATATAAGTGTAATCAAACATAACAAACCCTGGAAGGAACCATTGATTTACCATTCCCACTGTGTGGTTCAGCACAGGGACCTCTTTTATATAACAAAATGTTCACAAATAATTGGTTTTACCTGAATCCCCTAATTACTTCTGGAAAGAGAAATGCTGTATACATGAATTTCTGAGCACAAACACACAATGTAAAATGCTGATCCTACACTGGTTAGTTTTTTTAAGCAAAATATTATGCTAAATCGTTCACAAAGATGATATGCCAGGTTTCTTAATTTTCTTTTTGCAACACAAATCTTAGCTAATCCTTGTTACAAACGGGCAAACATCTAATCATTTTCTGCTAAGCAAATGCAATTTAGCTCACAAATTGTGTATAAGTTTGTTTAAGATGTGATCTGTTATAACAGTTCCTTGCCAAATGACCAGATATTAATCATATTCTCAAATGGGTAAGTACACAGGAAGATATTACTTATTTTGTGATTCCAGATTTAATTTTCAACTCACACCTTTCTTAAAGCCATCCTTGAAGATTGGTCACTTAGGCAATGAACAAACCTTCCTCCGTTGCAAATGGAGTTTTTGTGTTCAGTGGAAACCTTTCCAAAGCATTCATCTCTGTCAGTGTATCCAGTGCACGGTCTGTCATGAACAGCTTCCAGCATTAAGTAGAACAATTCTGTCTACCATCTGGCTTTTTGAGCAAAAAGCCTTTTTTATATAAAAATATAAAACTGAGCTGCCCCCAGACCAGACTTAAAATCTTCCCAAGGATATCATCCATCTCTTCATCCATTCCAAATGGATGAAATTTTAGATGGACCAGTAATAAGAGGTGAAAGGTTTGGAATCTTATTTAATATGTTTACTTGAATTGTTTTTTAAAGAACATAGGAATTGGAATCACTTTTGTAAGAGTACCACTGTCCCTGGGAACTAACCCAGTATTTGCTTTTAACTATGTGACAATTGAGTACATTTTCAAAAATATAGTAAGAAACACTACATAACAGAAGCAACACGGGTCTGACTTTGCTGTTGTAGAGACTTAGAGTGAAAACTACCCAACTTTCACTCACTGGCTGATCTGGAATTAGATCTACTACCCCTGAGTAATAGTTCCAACCACATAAGTTTATACTCACATCCTAGACAGAAAGAGAGAAGCATAAAAAGTCTCTATAACAAAAGCAAGTTTGATCTATCTTTAATTGTTCTTTTAACTCAACTTACTTCCTGAGTGTGCAAAGTGAGTTTGGGTTTCAGTCACGGAGCTGGTTTTCCTCACCGTCTTTCTTCAGCCCCCACCAAGAACAATATGCTACATCCTGGCAAATACAGTCCAGGCCACACGGCCCGAGTTCTCCCTCCTCCTGCTGCTGTGAAAAAATTTAATTTGATTATTTTTAAAACATTTAAACCACATGAAAAGACTTTCTTTAAAAACTCTTACTGTCTTTGTTTTACAGAAATTAATGAAATGAGTGTCCATTAAGGGTGTGAAGAGTATTCTCATCTCAACCACATACACACGTAGAAATCGAGGCCACCTGGACATCAACTCATTGCTGCAGGATGAAATTCAAAAGCCTGAAGAATAAGATATAATTCTGCATGCTAAATTAAGTTTTGGTACAAGGATATCCTCTTTCAGACCTAATTGCACTGATAATCAATCAGCGTTGCCTCTGCGATCATGGTGGATGTAAAGTAGGAGCGATGCAACACATTTGAGTCGTCTGGCTTAATGTTCCGCAATCAGAAAAGGTGATGCTCCTGAACTCGCTCCACGCTCCTCCGGCTGGGAGAGCAGCCCAGGAGCACGTGTGAGTGCCCGCATGTGCCAGCCAGATTGCCAGGGGGAGCCCCGGCCCCAGCTGTGAGCCACAGCCACAGCTCACTTGGTAAGTGCTGGGCAAGTTGCTTAACTTCTCTGAGCCTCAGTGTATCTGTACAGTGAATATTATAACAGCGCCTACCTCGTAATGTTGTTGGGTGGATTTAATGAGTTAAGATTTAACATGGAAAACAAAGAAGGAAAGCCTTGCTTTCTGCCCCAGACCTGCATCACGGCCATTTCGGGGAGAGAAATTTTCCTAAGGACACATGAAATATAAATTTTAAAAAGCTGTGCCTGTGAAGAGTTGGAGTTCAAGCTATGAGCTCCCTACTCACACCCTTTCTGCACCTCCTAAAATGCTCTGCATTGTCTGTCCCCACTTCTCCTTCTGTTCTTTAACTTCCCGGTATGATGACAATTGACCCAGCTCCCTACAGCACCCTCCTCCCAAGGGCTCAGAGCTAGTTTTCAGAGGTTAACAGTGGAAAGGGGAAAGAACTGATCATTGATTCCAAGGCTCTGCCTATCAGTGTGAACGTCTGACTTCAGCCCAAGGCGACAGGACACAGGATAAGACTTTTAGCAGTGGAGAGATCCTCCCAGCCCTCCGCATGTCCTAACCGCTCACCCCACCCTTGAGACTACTGTCAGTCTCCAAACACAGTTTCTGCGGTGCAGCATGTTGGTTTACCTCAAAAGGGCCGTCGATGTGTCCAATCTCAATCTTACAGCATCGACTTCATTTGCATCGCCATGCAGGTATAATAAGAAATAATTTTCTTTCCCATCAACTATATTTTATGTACAATAATAGAAAAATACCTAAAAAGCTTGACTGAGTATGTTATGAAATTCAATTTATATATACTGTAGGTATAATTTGTTGTGTGTATGTTGTAATCAAATAATAAAGGGGAAAACACTCACAGTTTTTGGCTGGACTATCTGTTGTGGTTAAAATAGAAGTTTAACTTTCTCTAGGCAATAAATATTGGTGTTCTTTCATGGCAACATCTTTCCTGTCCTCATGGCAGCGCGTGAAGCTGCGGCGGCGCCCGTGGGTGATTTGCCTCACTTGCCGCTAGGGGGAGGTAGAGCTAAGTTAGTGGCGGGGCCGCGGGCGGCTAAGGGAGCGGGGGAGGAGCCGGGGAAGGCAGCGAAATAACACGGAGGAGAGGAGAGGAGAGGAGACCAGGACGGAAGGGCTGAGGAAGGCAGAGGAGCCTTGCTGGACCCTGGGGACATTTAGGAAGGCAGCCGTCGGCTTTCACGGATTGACGATTAGGCGGCCCGATGAATAATGAAGGGCAGCCTGCCAAGGGGAGGGAGAGCTCTGCTCCCTCTCCCACCTGCTGTCATCAGCGATGAGCGCTGTGAGTGGGGTGAAGTCACAGTTCGTGATGAAAACCGGGATTTCTGAGCAGTTATCATCTTTGCCATGCAACCTCCTGATAACATGCTATGTTTCGTTTTCGTGCTTAACGAAATCTCCTTCCACAACCTCAGTGAGCTAGAACTGGGGTGTGGGGTTTCAGGGCGGGAGGGGACAAGGCTGTGCGTGTGTGCTACAAACCGCCCACAGTTGCAGGCCTCAGGAGAAATCAGCATGGCACCTCCACGCTTAAAAAAAAAAGAAAAGAGAAGAAACTCTTCTCCCAAAAGTCATGTCCCATCGCACGGTTCCCAGAAATAGTGGCAAAAGTCACTGCTGAAATGGATTGTGAATTGTTTGGTTTCACACACTGATAAGAATAAACCTGCTGAGGCCAGCTGGGCTTTTGTCACTTGGGATATAAGTAGCATTGTCCCAGAGTGTGGCAATCACCAGTCACGGGAGGATGAAGGAAGGAAGGAGACCGGGGAGAAGGTAACTGGGGCAGAGGGGCCTGGCCTTCCAGGAAAAGCTGATCACCCAAATTGCCAGGTGCAAAGGGCCAGAGAGAATTCCCCTCTAATCCACACTGCGGCCCAGAACTTGCCTCCGTGGGAGCCTCTTGTTCCAAGCTAGTCTGAACTCCATCCAGAAGACAACGGGAACCTTTGACAGCTTTTAATCGGACAACTGATATTACTAAAAAATAACCAAATCATCTCCCTATCACGTCATTCTAATTCCTGGCATAGCATTTATCGCTGTCTAGTATCCATTCATTCACTCCTTTTAAGTGCTTGCTTCTTCCCACTAAAATGTAAGCTCCGTGAGAGCAGAGACTTTAACCGTATTGTTCACCATTGTTTGCCTAGAAAATAACCTAGGTAGGACATTGAAAATGTTCCATAAATATTTCTGCACGAGTAAAGCTTTGTGTTTTAGAAAGCTGGCCATGGCAGGAGCGTGGACAATGGCCACGCTGAGGTGAGGGGACGGAGTGGAAAGAGACAGCGAAATTGGATACCGAGGCAAAACATAGGAGCCTCGCAGCAATCTAAGGCAGACAGGTTGTGACACCAGTGCTAGAAACTGCAGGACAGAAACCTGGGCCTGCAGGGAGGTGACTACCCACAAGTACTACACAGGAGTGGTGTTTGGGGGCGACTCAGGAAGTCGGCAGGTCATGCAAGCAGGTGGGAAGTCCAAAGGGGCGAGGTGCAAATACAAGCATTAATACATAGCAGTGGGTGGGCAGCTGCGGAGATCCGGGACAGGGCACAGCCACAGCGAAGGGAGTGGACGCAGGGCCCCCACTGCGCTGTCCTCACACAGAGAAATGCATGTCCGAGGAGAGAAAGCCTGAGAAAGCGAGCCTGGGAGAATCAGTGCTCAATACAGAATAGACAGAGCAACAGGAGCTTGGAAAGGGATGGCCGCAGCAGCCTCAATGCCCAGCCAGACCCCAACCAACACACCACCCCAGCTGCCGGGAGTGTGGGGACACAGGCCCTCTGCCGAGTCCCCCCTGAAAGGAGCTGCCCTGGCTGGGACGTGAAGGTGGGACCCAGGGGCCCGGCTGCTGGCCTCGTGGGAGGACAACTCTGAGCGGCCCTCCCAGCTCACACTCTGGGCGGGACCGACTCGGGCCTGCGTGACACCCGCAGCCAGGTCCGGCCTCTCCTTCCACCCAGTGTCACTGTCTTTACTCCTCCAGGGGTATGGGTACCGAGGTCACCCCCCAAAACACTTGTTCGCCAAATTTCCACCTCCACGTCTGTTTCCCAGGGACCTGACCTAAGGCACTTGGTGCCAGGAGTGACCTGAGGGAAGGACTCTGACATGGAACCACAGAGCTGGCCGGCCCCTGCCAGCTGGAGAGGAAGACCTGGCCCCGGCCCTGGAGAAGCCCAGTTGTCAGAGCTTTCGCTGGAGATGAACAGACCTGTGAGTGGGAGAGAAGGCCTCCCAGAGTGAGGAAGGGTACCAATTATGAGAACAATGGACTCTGAAGGCACTTGCTGAGTCACTGATGCATTAGGGAAAAACAATGACAGCCTGGGGCTATGAATCACCAGTTGAAAGCAAAGTGTAAAAGTTAGAAGGCCTCAGTGGAGGCATCCGAAGAGACTCACCTCCAGTGGCAGGAGGACAGAAAAGTCTGAGAACAAGGCCCAGAGAAGAGCAGCACTCCAGAGAAATTTGATTCTCAATCCTGGCTCGTGTGCTTTGGCAACGTCAGGGGCCTAGTTGGGATAAGTGAGACCCTAGGAATGGGATGGGGACATCAGAATTAATGCTTTCAAAACCTCGAGACCATTCAGAGCCCTCTGGCCTACAGAGGTGGCCCCGTCCTCCCCAGGAGAGGCGGTGTGTGCTCTGCCCTTGTTTGAACATGAGGCAGAAGTCTCGGCACTGCAGGACCATGCAGGGCCCCTGGGGACCTGCCCCTACCTCCCACCCTCACCAGGAGAGTATCTAGAGTCAGGAGAAAACAACGCACATGGCGGGCAAGTGCGAGCCTGCCAAGGGAGGAGGGGAATATTCTCTGGAGAGGCCTCGGGGTACAGCCCACGCGTACTGGCCACAGGCAGTACAGAGAGTGTTTATGGGACTGGACCCCGAGGGTGATGAATCAAAGCAGGGAAACACACAGTTGGGTAGGGGTGAGTTTATTTATATGGGAGCATCTACGGTGATAGATTATTCGCCACCCTTGCAAGGTCTCTGGGAGATGTTTTCATCATGCTGCTAGGATGCATCTTGGAACTCTGGAGAAAATTATGGCCCACACCAAGTAAAGCTGAAATGCCAGAACTGTTGTGATAGATGGAAGAAGAGATAAAAACAAATCTTAATCCTTGGGCCAGTTTTCTGACTCAGAACTCACAAATGAAAGAAGAGACCAGGTCCTCAGGAGCCCCCACGGCAAGTAAATACAGTCACGATTCCAATAGCACTTTGCCAAAAGGATCTATGACCATTTATTCAGGCGACCATATATTGGAAAAGCAGAATACACAAACATTTTCACAAATGTTGGCCACAGGATCTGAGCTGACATCCATATCCAGAGAACTCCAGGCTCACTGGGGTCCCCTGTGGAGTGGGGTGCACATGGATCAAATGGAATTTGTCCCCAGCCTGGATTACAGTGGTCATGGTCCACTGTGTCCATGGACCCAGCCAGTGGCCATGTCTCTGCTTCCCAAATGTGCAACTGGAATGGGTGTATTAATACTTGGAAGATGGCAGAGCACCCACATAGACTCCTTGACCTTCGCAGTAGGAGTAAGAGCTATCGTGTTGGGAAAGGGCAGGTGAAAAGCTCTGCAACTGCTCCTCTGGCCGAGAGTGTAGATTAATATCACACTCATGGAGGAATGACAGAAACCAGTGCTATCCTTAAACACCTAAACAATATGAGGTTGGTAGGCCCTGCCATAACTAATGAACATATCAGTTTGGACCCTACAAAAGCCAGACAGATACCGGAGGATGACAGGGGACTACATCAGACTCAATCAAATAGTAAGCCCCATTGCAGATGTTGACCAGATGTGGCATCTTTACCAGAGTAGCTTGAGGAGGACCAGGAACAGTCCGCATTTACCTGGAACACACAAGAAGGTATCCAGCCGGCCGTCAGAATATAATGAGGAGGGGCCTGCACCACCTGGACACTGTGGAAAGCATCACGTCGGTCACGACATCAATGACATAGTCTTGATCAGATGGGATGAGCAAGAAGTGGCAAGTGCCCTGGAGGCTTTGCAAAGGCGCGTGCACTTCAGAGCATTCGTAATAAACTCTATGAACCCGAGGTCTGCCTTATCTGTGACATTTGTTGGAAATCAGTGGCCTGGAGAAGTTGGGGCATTTTTTTCCAGAGTAAAAGACAGATTATCACTTGCTGCACCACCACTAAGAAAAAAAACACAAGGACAACCTCTTCAATTCCTGAAGACAGCATCTGCCACACTTGGGAAATACGGCTCCAGTCCACCTGCTAGGTGACACCAGAGACTGCCAGCTTTGAGTAAAGCTCAGGCAAGGAAATGGCTCTGGCCCAAGTCTGGGCTGTGATATAACAGGATCTGTGGCTTTGACCACATGACCTGGCTAGCCCTGTGGTGTCTGAGGTCCCTATGATGGGAAAAGGTTCTATGTGGAATGTATGACAAACCTCAATAGAATCCAGTGTGTACCATAGAGTTCTCAAGAAAGATCCTGCAGTGAGAATGATAATCCATTTGAAAACCAGGTACTGATGTGCTACTAGGCTCCGCTAGAGGTAGAGCACCTGACCACGGTACTTCAAGTCCCATACAACCAGAATTGCCCATTGTGAACTGGATTCAAATTCACCAAGTGATAAGGTCAAATTGCCCCAACTGTAATCCACAGTGAGACGGAAGTGGTACACTGGGATCAGTCATGGGCAGGGCTAAAGGACACTAGTCAGCTACAAAAACGGGTCATGCAGACCTACGTGTTACCCACCATTGCTGCACCTGCATCTCTCCCTCGTGTCATTCTTACGGCTGCATGGAGGGGGTGGGAGGATTCCCTTATGGCTGTCTGACAAAGGAGAAGAAAAGTCAAGCTTCATTCGTGTGTGTGTTGCTTGGTGTGGGGGTGCTTGCTAGAAATGGACTGCCACTGAACACAGGTCTGCTCAGGGCTGACACAACAGACGGCAGTAAGGGGAATGCTCCCAATGGGCAGAGCTTGGAGTGGTGCACCTCTTCTTTTACTTTGGTTTTTGTTTTCTGCTTTTTGGGTGGTGGAGTGGTCCATGGTAAGAATGTGTATGGGTTCCTGGGCAGTGGTCAGGAACCTGGAAGGAGAAAGGCTGACAAATCAGAGACAGATACCTGGGGAAAGCATGTGGAAGGACATGTGGGAGCGGGTTCCGAGTGTGAAGATCCCCATACTGCTTGTATGGGGATCCTAGGGAAGCCCTAGGGAACCCCCACTGCAGAACAGTCACTTAACCTGGTAAGTGGGATGACTCAGCCAGTTGACCTTAGCCACCCTCTGTCATTGGCTACTCCAATTCTAGCATAATTGAGAGTGACCAGGGGAGCCGTGGTGGTAGGGATGGAGACTTTACCTGGGTTCAAAGCGTGGGCGCACACTCCTCAGTGCTGATGTAGCTCCTGCTGCTAAATGTCCAAGTTGTCACACCAGAAACCACCTCTGAGCTCCCACTATTGCCCTGTCCTCAAGGAGACCAATGCATCTTCTGGTGGCAAGTTGACTACAAAGTACCCCCAACACATACACACCCTATTATAAGACACAGTGACACATCATGACTAGAACTGACATATTCTGGGAACAGATTTGCCTTTCTTCCTTAACCAGCATCAATATCCAAGGGCTCACACTGTGTTTCATCCACTGGCACTGAATTCTCATGTAACATTGCACCACACCAAGAAAACTGCATCACATCAAAGAAGCCGTGGCAATGGGCACAGGACTGTGGGATCTACTGGTTCTATTACACAGTCAGAGGCTGGAAGTCTGTTGAAAAGGCCTCTTGGAGATGCAGCTCAGATTCCAGCATGGAGACAGTACTCTGAGAGGATGGAGTGTTATTCCCTAGGGTGGAGTAAACACTAAAAATCAGTAGATTCTTGGGTCCAGGAACCAAGAACTAGGAGCAATGGCCTCACTTACCATTCGAGGTTGAGCCCATTAGAGAATTTGTGCTTTCCATCCCAGTAACACTGCACTCTGAAGATTTAGAGGGCCTGGTTCCCTGAGGAGAAATACTTCTAGCTGGGGTCCCAGTAAGAGGCACATGAAATTCAAGCTATGACTTCTGCCTGGGCACTTCAATCTCTTCATGCCATAAGTCCATCAGGCGTCAGAAAGAATGATCATCCTGGCAGGGGAGTTGAGCCTGATCATCAGAAGAGCGTACACCTGCTTGTGCTCTATAAGGGCAGGCAAGAATGTTTGGTACGTAGGCAATCCATTGGGTTGCCTCTTGTTCTCATGAGCAATATTAAAAGTAAATGGATAAATGCAGCAGCCATCGCCTAAAAAGAGCATTGTGACCAGGGGGGAACCCCTCTCAGAAATGAAGTTCACTTCAGTGGCTACCTGTTGGCACAGAGATGCCAACTGATGGTGAAGGGACCCTAGAATTGGTAGCAGAGGAGGGAATGATGACTATCAATTGCAGTCTTAAGATCAGCGGCAGAGTTGGTGGTTCCTCCCATTAACCTTCCTCTTGTAACACACTAGGAAATGAGACTAGTATGCTTCCAAGTGTCCCTGCCACAACTCATGTTGGAACCTTAATTTCCAATACAATGGGGCTGGCAGATGGTGCCTTCCAGAGGTGATTAGGTCATTAAGATGGATTAACCTCTTTCTCTTGAGCCTGTGTTAGTTCTTGCAGGAAGGGATGAGTTCCCATGGGAGTGGGTTGTTATGGTGTGAGGTTGCCTCTCGTGGGTGGTACTCTCAGCATGCACCCGCTTCCTCTCTGCTTCTCCACCATGGTGTGACGCAGCACATGGTGCCCACCAGAAGCCAGGCAGATGCTGGTGCCGTGCTCTTGGACTATCTAGCCACCATAATAGTGAGCCAAATAAACCCCTTTTCTTCATAAATTGCACAGCCTCGGGTATTCTGTTATAGCAACACTAAATAGACTATAAGACAGAGAGCAAGCAAAGTCTATGAAAGCAGTACCCAAAACTCACTCTATGAAAGTTATGGATATGACAGCATAAGGGGTGATGTAGCAGTGCTGTGGCGAGCTACTCAGACCCACCCCACAGCAGCTGAAGAGAACTTCTCCCAAGTTCACACTCCCTCCCTAGGCAGGAACTCTGACTCCTTGGCTCACCAATGGATGGATGGGATGAAAAAGACCCACCTCCCTTATCTTGGGGCAGATCAACTCCAAGGGACCATCTCTACTCCAGAGCTCCCTAGAAGATCAGAGACTAAAGTTGAGTGGACAGAAAGAAAAGAGATAATAAACAGTAAAGTAGTATTTTAGAAAGTAGGGATGACTTGCTAAAAAAAAAAAGTGTGTAGAAGTTTTCTGGGATTTGCTTTAACATAAGTGGCATAGAGAAAGTGTGAAGGTGGGTATATGTGAAAATGGATTGGCCATCATCATTGCGAAGTTGAGCAATGGGTACAAAGAGGTTCGTTTATATTTTCTCTACTTTGTATAGATTTGAAATTTTCCATAATAAACAGTTAAAAAGCAGAAAGGGAATGGATATCAATAGCTACTGTTTAGGTGACACGTAGAAAATCAGGAAACCAAGACTTACCTTTTCCTCATCTAGGTGGCACTGTCCCCGGCACTATGAATACAGCAATAAACAAACCAGGTAGAAAATCTTGCCCATTATGAGGATCACATTCTAGTGAGGAGAGACAGACAATAAAAAAATAATTGGGACTGGGAAAGTATTACTGTGCACCTGTGTGTTACCCTTGTGTTTTCTTCCCTCCTCTAAGAGGACAAGATGTAGCCTTAGGAACACACAACTAGTTCAGGGATTAAGGAAGTACAGTGTAAATATTATATGAAAGTCTCAGGTTCATAGATTGCACATGCAAGCTCTTCCTACACCATGATGTTAGGTATACCCTAGCCCAACTATAAAGTAGAAATATATTAATAGTTTTCTCCTCCTCAAATCTAGCAGGACTTAATGCATGGAAAGTTTGACATGTAGAGAACAAGCAAACTGCATTCCACTGGATTGATTTGGGGTAGAGGCTTCACGAGATGTGAAATGGTTATAGCAACTCCATACCTACTTCCTCTGTCATTCAGGGTGGCTGGGAAGACCAGAGTCTCTTTCCTAAGATATTAGGCAAAAGCTCCATTATGTGTCACTAGCTCTGATGGCGTCATGTCTAGCTATTGTCACCAGATGAATACAGAGCACTGATTGATTTAGAATTAAGTGTCTTGCGCCTTCCCAGAGCTGAGGGTGGAGTCTTGCTCTTGGACATGGACTAATAATGTACGAATGGCAGGATTTGTTTTGACAGTAAAGTTGACAGGGGCTGATGATGAATTTTTAAGACATAATAGAGGAGTGATTTTCAATGGGGGTGTCACCACTCAGAAGGAAGATTTGAAAATTTATGGGATTATTTCTGATTGTCAAATCATTAAAGGAGAACTACTGGATCTTAGTAGTCAGAGCCAGGGATGCCAGATGCCCTGTGTGTAAAGAGCAGTCTGCAAAGGGAAGATATTCTTTTGTCCTGCACAACTTTTTTTTTCTTTTCAAGACAGAGTCTCACTCTTTTGCCCAGGCTAGAGTGCCATGGTGTCAGCCTAGCTCATAGCAACCTCAAACGCCTGGGCTCAAGCGATCCTTCTGCCTCAGCCTCCCGAGTAGCTGGTACAGGCATGCGCCATCGTGCCTGGCTAATTTTTTTTTCTATATATTTTTAGTTGGCCAATTAATTTCTTTCTATTTTTAGTAGAGACGAGGTCTCGCTCTTGCTCAGGCTGGTTTCAAACTCCTGACCTTGAATGATCCTCCTCCCGCCTCAGCCTCCCAGAGTGCTAGGATTACAGGCGTGAGCCACCGTGCCCTGCCTTGTCCTGCACAACTTTCATAAATCTCATCCCAAACTGGGACTGAATGTGTGCTCTCTAACAAGCTGGGGTTGCAAAGGGGAGATTTTTTCTCTAGGACATTCCATCACCACTTAGACCAATATCATAACCAAAAAAAATATAAAATTATTTTGTCCCTATACTTAAAAATAATAAAGCTGCATTCATTTATAAGATTACCATCATTCCTCATTTTTGTCACATTAATTGCCTCAATCTGTAACTTGTTGTCTTAGTCTGCTCAAAATACCACAGACTGGGTGGCGTAAACAACAGAAATTTATTTCTCACAGTTAAGAGGCCAGAAATCCAAGATCAAGGACCCCGTAAATTACATTTTATTCTGAGGTCTCTTTTCTTGGCTTGTGAGTGGCAGCCACCTCACCGGACTCACAGGACCTCTTCTCTGTGTACCTAGGCTGGGGAGGAAGGGAGAACTCTCTGCTCTTTCTTCTTTTCGAGACAGAGTCTCACTCTTTTGCCCAGGCTAGACTGCCGTGGCATCAGCCTAGCTCACAGCAACCTCAAACTCCTGGGCTCAAGCAATCCTTCTGCCTCAGCCTCCCGAGTAGCTGGGACTACAGGCATGCGCCACCATGCCCGGCTAATTATATATATATGTATTAGTTGGACAATTAATTTATTTCTATTTATAGTAGAGATGGGGTCTCGCTCTTGCTCAGGCTGGTTTTGAACTCCTGACCTTGGCCTCTC